AGACTATACATGTATAAATCGGCTTGCAAAATCGGGCGAAAATGGCTAAATTTGCCCGACACGGGTCCGATCCCCGTGCAATATCTCGGTAACCGTGGGCCGGATCGGCACGGGGAAAACAGCATCATGTAGATAATTGAACAGGTTATCGAATGATATGCAGTACAGGGGATGGCACGTGCCACGTGCACCCGTGAGGGTGCTTTGGTTGAAAAAAATGCGGTTTTTGACGGATTTTGGAATTGATTTTATTTTTAGGTGACCATTAAACGGAGCGAGTTGGAACAGCGCCTATTGGCAAGAGAAATGTACCGCCTCTCATGGAAAAATTGTGGAAAGCTGATTGATCCAAATCAAGGTGGTACAAATCACGGGAGAAAATGGTGTTTGTCAATTTTGTGCCACTTTATTAATCACACGGGTTTTGCTCCATGATCTGATATCTCTGGCAATTAAAAATGGCACCGTTGGAAAAAGCATTCAATTCTGTCCAATATTCACTCATCATTTTTGCATGATGAGCAACAGTATTCTTAAAAATGTAAATGTTCCAAACCATTACATTGTCATTTTTAGCGAAATTCATCGATGGCCCTCAAAGGACTTTACGCCAGTTTTCAAATCATTCTTGAAAGCATGATAATACGACACGGGCACCTCGATGCGATGTATCTTTTTTGTTTTATTACAAAATACTTGGCCTTCAAAAAGGAATCGAACGAAATGGATACCAACCAAATCGATACAGACCAACCCAATACCCACGGGTCAACAATAACCCTTCTTCGCGTTGCGGAGCACGCGGGTAACCCTAGTATTCCTACTACTTTTGTATAGTAATAAAATATACATGACACTTGGCCCACTTTACGTGACGATATGTCTTGCAATGGTTGGGGCATTGTGCAATGTGCATTGCTTACCGATGGAATTACTGATTGTCGTAACCGCGCCAAAAACGTACTCGATCTAAGTGAGCTGCCGATGTGCCATATCAAAAACGCCTAGGTTTTTAGTCTTTAGGCTGTGAGGCACTGTTTCACAGCCCAAGTTTTTCCAACGGAGGTCGCTGCTCCCTTTGGGAGCAGCGACCATTTTTTAAGAAAAAAGTACATTTTTTAAGAAAAAAAAGTACATTTTTTTTCATTAACATTTTTTAAGAAAAAAAGTAAGGCATAATAAGACAAATCCCTGAACTATTTAATATAGAATTATTTTTCATTTCTAGCACGGTAAGACCTTACCAAAAATACTGAACATAATCTACAGTTTCATATTTAAAATCACAATAAATCGATCTTGGCTATTTTCGGCAAGGCTGTGTCTCACTTGATTCTCCCATACAAAAGCATTAGGCCACCAAATTGGCAACTATTATGTAGCATGGTAAACATCCAAGGTAGCAACATTGCTGTGCCGATTCATGGAAGCTATATGGCCTAAGCCATGAATGAAATTAAGGAAGCAACACCCAATAAAAGCTTTTTTACCCAAAAGCTGGTGAGGCACTGCCTCAAGTGCCTTAATGGAAGAACCGCCACTGGAAAACTCAGCTTAAACATGAACTTCGGAATCGTTTGGACCGAACTCGTCCCCCGCTCTCTTCGACAGCGTATCTTTGATCCACGAAAACAATCACAATTTGAGGAGGAATTCCACATTTATATACATCGAACGATAGCTCCGGGTCTGCAGAACACACATAACCACATGAAAATGGCGAACTCGTACTTGGTTATGATGTACTTGTACCACAAAGATTTAAAGACGAAAATATAATTTCACATAATTGATGTCACACACAAATAGACTATTAACCCGCGCACCGACGGGGGGGGGGGGCGGATATCCGCCCCCCCCCCCCTGAGGTTTTTCGCGAATAGCGGGAAAACCGCGGCGCGTAGCGCCGCGAAATTTGGTATGACTATTCCCTTATCAATTTTACACATGGTGTGCAAGTTTGAACCTCCTACCTTTCAAGGTCAGGTCACCAGGTCACTTTGAATGACCCAACCTCAAGTCCCTTTTTTGTAACTTTGTCACCGTGCCAGAGCTACAGTAGATGTCGGAGGCCTTTGAAAGTCGCAGGATGTTATTAGGTCATTAGTAGCTACAATTTGTTTATCTCGGAATTTTGATATCGGTGACCTAAGGTCAGGTCAATTTCGCGACCTCCCCATTATAAGTCAATGGGGGAAAAATCAACTCCCTGTTTTTACCACTAAAACGGGTCGGAATGGCCCCATATACCATACATGACTTCATATACGATCAACCTTCACTACCTTGAGGTCTGTTTTGCTGTTGGGCAGCTGTGAGGTCATGTGACGTCATCAAAGGTCACCAAAGGTTTTTGGCCAATAACTCCGTACAGGAACAAGATACAGACGCGTGGATGGTCTCATTGTGTTCAGCTCGTCAAGACGCATCGAATGATATACATGATGACCTCGAGGTCACGTGACCTGAGGTCAACCTTTGACCTTGACCTTTCGAGGTCAACATATATGTCATTCGATGCGGATTGACGAGAGGATCACGATGCTGCCCTTAGTTTGTTCCTATCTTGACTAATTCGAAAGTTATTCGAGAAAAACTCTCTCCATATTATGCGCCGCCATTTTGACTTTTTCGACCCCTGTGACGTCATCTTTGACCTGACCTGAAAATGACCTTTGTAAAAATTGTAGATCTTGACCGTGCGTATCCGATGCCGTTTGCCGCTTGTCGCTATCCTGCTTCGTTCTCGAGATCTCAGGGGTGGGGGCGGTCATCCGCCCCCCCCCCCGTCGGTACTAAGTTGGCGCAGACCCCCGTCGGTGCGCGGGTTAAAAAAAGTACCGCAAAGTACCGCTTCGAAAATCTCGCTACATGTCAATGAGTCATTGCACTACAAGATCCAACAGTCATTTCTTGCGACTTTTTGCGACTTTGGATGTAGCAGCCAAACATCAATCCGCGCCGGACCGATGCTCGGGCTCGGCGTCAAACGCGCCGGGCCGGGAAGTGTTGATTGAACACTCCCCTTCTAACTCGGCTCCTTGGCCACATAGCGACACGTAGTAAGTGGCATTCGAAAGAGCGCCCAAAATTCCAGATAGAGTAATCAGTCATTCTTTATTCTTTATTTCAATTCAACACCAACGGGCAGCATACCCAGTAACAGGTGCAGTCATTTCATAAAACTCAGACTAGGTAAAAAAAACTCATTTCTAGGTCAGGTCAAAGGTCACGTCACCAGAGGTCATCAAAGGTAAAATGTTGCATATAACAACATTTCTCGAAAGACCGGCCCTTACCTCGGGGACCAATAGAGCTACATCGTCACGGAAAAGTGCATTCCATTGCTCTTTTAGCGGTCTTTCTGAAATAAGCCCTCAGATTTGGCTTAATTCACCCTCGCCCCTAGTGGTGTTTTTCCAGCCGCGAACGCATAGAAGGGGTCCGTTGGACCCCCTGCCGTTTTATTTATGTTATTTATTTATTCAAGTGATCACCAACAGGGCGGACCCCCACTGACAGGCGAAGTCAAACTAACACTATACATGATAAACAATGACATACGGGCAAACAATGCAGAGTAAACAGTAGGTAAATATTACGATAAATATAGCTAAAAATATAATGCACAAAAAATAAAAAAATCTGTGAGTTAAGATGAATCTAAAAAAACGGAGCTTGTAAAAAGGCTCTATGACTTTAAAAAGATGATATATACTTCAAAACATGAGATTTAAAAGTCCCAGTGGCATCGGTAAAAAAAATCTGCGTTTCGCCCCTGGTCGAGCTAGAGCTTCGCGGAAAAGACGAGCGTGTTGCCCGTGACAAGAGGAAGCTGATGATACCCATTTGTAAGGTCCTAGGTCATCGGTTGATCTTCCAGGTCAGGTCAATGACCCAAAAGTCGGGAAAATCGGGACCTGTTAGAACGTCGTAAAGGGTGGCTGCTATGTTTTTTTTTTTTGGGGGGGGGGTGCTGATCACGAATTCATATAATGTTATTTATGATCATAGATGATGTCTTCATGCATTTAGGCCAGGTCGGGTAGGTCAGGTCAGGTCAACCAGTAAGGATGTTGCCGGGTATTTGTAGAAGGTGGCAACCGCCTCTGACAGCTTCGTAACATGTTACAAAGGCACCAAAGCTACATAGTAAATGTTGAAATGGTTGCTAGTTAGATTCGAATTTAGCTCCAAAAACTAGCCTAGAAACATGTAAAACTCGAAAAATTGAACCAAGGTCATCAAAGGTCAATGACCTTACCTGACCTTCCGGTGACCTTGACACCCACCCTAATGCATGGGAGCAACATAATACTCCATGCTTGAACGCTTTAAACCACGAAAAGACTGCAAACTTGCGGCTAATGCGAGCCGACATACGCTGAATCGCGATTCCGGCCAAACATGGTCTCGAAAGTAGGTCACAGGTCAAAGTTACATGGGGTGTCATATCACGGAAATTTTGGCGGCCGTAATTGCCCTTCGTATCAGGCCCGGAGTCGGAGTCGAAGTCGGAGTCGGTCAGGAGCCCGGAGTCGGAGTCGGAGTAGGAGTTGAGACAGCGTTACCACAACTCCGAAACCCTGTTTTTTGATCGCCCATTTGGTGTAATGCTACCAACTGTTACTGGCTACCCCCTGGCTACAGTAGCTACCTATAGTACCCACAGTGCTGATACTACAATACCTGCCGGAATGGGTCCGCTAGAATGACGACTGGGCCGCCCGGCCGTCTCAAGCCGTCTCCGTCTGTCCGGCCGGCGCCTGCTCGTGCTATCTGCTGGGAATCTCCGGAAAGGCCGTGGTATCACCTGGCCTGGACGACCCGGCCAACACGTGTGCACCGCCGACTGATCGCATCGATCGCGACACGGCCGACCGGCGAAAGGGACAGGACAACAAATTACAGTCCCAGGGGCAGTCACAACTGGCCGAGCCGCCGCCGTCCTCCCGGCTGGCCGAGCCGCCGCCGTCCTCCCGGCCAGTCGAGGCGCCGTCCTACCCGCTGGTGGAGGCGCCGGCCGCCTGACTTTCAGGACATGACACGTCCGTCACCTCGGATGGGGTGTAATCCTCCTCTGCAAAGACATCCCTGTCCGTGGGATATACATATGCCGCATTTCCTGAAGGCGTTGATAGCTGTAGATGGTGCCGCAGCCCTGAGGTATGCCTGACAGAATAGGCGCGCCACCTGGTAGAGAGTGACCACTCGGCCTGGATTTTGCCGGAGGAACTTCTCGATAGCCTGAGTGTACAAGCTGTAGAAGTAGAGCTGTAGCTGTAGAAGCTGTAGAAGGTGCTGAGCGGTTTCATGAAGCCCACGTCCAGCGGCTGCAGCCGATGGCTTGTATGCGGCGGGATGACCACGATGGTGACGTGGTTGTCCCTCGCGAGCTCAATTAGGTCCAGATTTCTGGTGTGCGTGAGCGTGAGATGGCCATTCAGTATGAGAAGAACTGGTTCTTCCGCACTGGGTTTGGCATGTCGTAGAAAGTGTTGGAACCAGCGCGTGAAGATGTCCGTCTGCATCCACCCCGACCGGTGATACACGAAAACCGTCCCGGGCGGTGCTCCTTCTTCCAGATTCTGGTTCTCTTTTGTTCTCGGGAGTATCATCATCGGCGGCACGAAGTTTCCGACAGCCGACATACACACTACCGCCGTGGTCAGCTCGCCTCTCTCAGCAGACGTCACGCTGCCGACCTGTTTCTTCCCCCTCCGGGCAAAAATCCTGTTTGGCTTGCTCTGGACGGTTGTTATGCCGGTTTCGTCCACATTGTAAACGGCATGCGGACCCTTGACATTCTTACTGACCTTCTCCAGAATGTCAAAGAACTTCGACACCATTTGTTTGTTGAACCCTTTCGCGCGTGCCGCCGATGTCGCCTCAGGGGTTCTGAGAGCCAGATCCTTGTGTCGGGAAAGGAAACCCTGCAGCCAGTCCATCCCCGCGATGCCGTTCTTCAAGCCATGTGGAAATTTATTTATTTCGGCGTACTGGAAGGCGAGGCTGCGAACGTCCTTCGGAGTCAGGCCGAAGAACATCTTCTCCATCTTCAAGATGTGCTCCTTCAGCCGGATTTCCTGAGCTGGAGTGAAGACTTGCTTCCTTGGCCCGAGCGCGACCTTCACGTTGCATTTCCCCCAAACTCTGCGCTGCAGCGAACTGCGGGGGACGCCGTACACTCTGGCTGCCTGGAGCGTCGTCATGCCATGTTCTATGTACAGCCACCGTGGCCGCGCTCATCGACTCCCGCGACCATAAGGTCAGGTCAGGTCATCGACCTTTGATGACCTCGGTTCACTTTTTCGAGTTTTACATGTTTCTAGGCCACTTTTTGGAGCTGAATTCGAATTAAGCAACCATATGAGCATTTACGAAGTAGTTTTTGCACATTCGTAACCTGTTACGAAGCTGTCAGAGGCGGTTGCCACCTACTACGAATACCCTTACTGGTTGACCTGACCTGACCTGACCCGACCTGGCCTAAATGCATGAAGATACCACCTGTGATCAAAACTAACATGATATTCATGATCAGCACCCTGAAAAACCACATAGCAGCCACGCTTTACGACTTTCTAACAGGTCCCGATTTTCCCGACTTTTGGGTCATTGACCTGACCTGGAAGGTCAACCGATGACCTAGGACCTTAAAATTGGGTAGCATCGGCTTCCTCTCGTCACGGGCAACACGCTCGTTTTTACCGCAAAGCTCTAGCTCGATCAGGGGCGAAACGGCAAGGGGGTCCAACGGAACCCCCCCCTTATACGTTCGCGGCTGGAAAAAAAACACCAATACGGGCGAGGGTAAACATCAACACTTTGGTGTGTGTGTGTGGGGGGGGGGCGGGTCCAACGTGGTGGATACTGACCATTGGAACGGTGGGTAGGTACGGCTCTAGCGAGATTAAGCGGTAGGTTTTACACTTTCACATTTCCGGTTATATCTCAGAATCTAATTGATCTACGATGAAGCCATTTTACACGATCATGGCCGGCTTGTTACCCAACAAGTCGATCGCATCTTCAACACTTTAAAGCTTAGACGACGAAGGTATAGCCTGAGGTACACTAATTTTTCTAGGTGCAAAACCTACCGCTAAAACCCGCGAATCCTGTACCTAAGGTCCGAATTAACACCCAAAATCCAAATCCAAATCAACATCCGAATCAACATCCCTGGTTCAGTGGAACTTATACCTGTCATTTTCCTCATGAATGGCACCGAATAGCTTCGAAATATGACAAAAAACGTTTAAAGATTCTTTAAGAGCTGTTGCTAGAGATGTTTCACTTTCTATCCGTATTTTAAATACAAAAGTGCGCGATAATAGTTTGGTGGGGTAACACGGGCATTTTTTCCATTATTGCCCGTCTTACCCCATTTAGACATCGACGAGAAAAATTGCGGCCGCCAGGCGCCATGTTGCTTGGTCAGATCGCCGACATCCACAGTTCAACGGAACTCCATAATTAAGCTTATCTCACAGTTTCAACGGAAAGGATGGAACAGAACAATCACAATATCCAATGAATCCAATTTTTTACATTTCGAATGCAAGTCACGATTTTAGTTTTCACTTAACCCGCGCCCCACTGGGGTCTGCGTATAACACGCCCTACGGGGGGGGCTATTCATAGCCCCCCTCCTAACTCCGAAACTGCTGGGCCGATCGTCAAAATTCAAACGGCGTCTGATAGCCCCGGGAAAACTGTCGAGCGGAACCTAATTTCATTGACCTCGAGGTCACCGATGACGTCACAGGTCAGGTCAAAGTAAAAGTTATTAGCATTTTGGCTTGTTCACGTTTTGGGCTCTGGCCGCCGTCTTACAAGTCAGATCGGGCTCATTTTTGGTTCACACACTCGTGAACAGATGCTCTAGGTACCCTGAGGGTACCAAACTTGTACTTTGATTTTCAGGTCAAGGTCAGGTCATCACAGGTCACGAAAATATTATATCATGCGTCGGTCACGTGACACATGTTTTATGGTCCATTTAGGCCAAAGATTTCGAATTTGATGTCGTCTGAGTCATTTGAGGTCATTTTGAGTCGAATTTAGCTTAGGTCAGGTCACTTTCAGGTCAAAAAAGGTCAAATTTTGAAGTTATAATTTTTCAACAGAAAAGGTGTCTATTGGATGCAGTTTGAGCTCAGGAACACGATGGTGCTATTTATATTGGCGTACGATGTCAAATACGTGGTGAAAATTGATTTGAAAAATTAATAATTGTGAATTTTTTGCAATAATGCGTATAACTTGGCCATTTTTGAAGAAATTTAGCTAAAACTTGCTAGAGTTAGACATAATAACGCGTTCTATCACATATATTCCGTTTTTTTTTCGAAAAGTCAAAAACTTTTTGAAAAAAAACGTAAAAATGTAAATTTTGAATTTTATTATGTAAAATTTTCGAAATTTTCAAAATTTCGAAAATCCGAGATAGCAGTTTGATAGCGCAGTCTATTCTGAGTCCTCTCATGCAAAGAAATTGTTGGATCTAGCTTAAAAACTGAGCCCTTGGGAGCGATTGCCGTGGTTCAATGTTTTGCGTCGAAATCGGCCGAACATGACGTCACTCTGACGTCATGTCTGGCCGACCTATGGTAGCTATGAAGTTCAAATTTTGACACAAGGTGTCAGATTGATGCAGCCGAAGGTACTGAAAGTTTGACGTCGATACGTCAGGCGGGTTGGAAGTTATTGCAGAAAAACGGGAGGGGGGCTATAAATAGCCCCCCCCCCCCAGTGGGGCGCGGGTTAATATCTAAAAAAGGACGGAGATTCAATACCCGACCGTTCGCCACCAGAGAGAGGATCAGCTGACTACTTTCCTGACCAATTTGCTAATAGATGTCACTACTGGTTTAGGCTACAGTGATGGTGCCCGTCTTACCTACCATGCCCGTCATATCCCACTTTCCCCTATGTACCAGAAATAACATACTAACCTCAGTTTAAAACTTAGTCTTAAGCTAGTTGAAAAGGGTATAGTTGCCAGAGGGGGCAAAATGGGCATTTGCCCCTCCCAAACGGCATAATTTTAACATTACGCCTATGGACGAGGCATGGACAGAATTGATAAATTGTTATGGTTTGCCCCCCCCCCCCCAAAAAAAAACTGAGCTGGATCCGCCTCTGTTCAGCGCCGCCCCCGGCCGGCGCGGCAGTCAGTAGCGTCCCCTCCAATCCGCCGGGGCTCCCTTTGTGACGTCATACCCACCCCGGCCGGCGGTCAGTAGCGTCCCCTCCAATCCGCCGGGGCTCCCTTTGTGACGTCATACCCACCCCGGCCGGCGGTCAGTAGCGTCCCCTCCAATCCGCCGGGGCTCCCTTTGTGACGTCATACCCACCCCGGCCGGCGGTCAGTAGCGTCCCCTCCAATCCGCCGGGGCTCCCTTTGTGACGTCATACCCACCCCGGCCGGCGGTCAGTAGCGTCCCCTCCAATCCGCCGGGGCTCCTTTTGTGACGTCATACCCACCCCCGGCGGCGCCTGGCGGTAGGTCCGCAGTGGGACCGCGTCAGTGCCGGTAATAGTTTGATGCGGGAGGGCACGCCATGTCATGCCCACGAGGATATGGTGTCTCGGGACTTCCGAGGTCGAGGAATAAAGGTCGTCGGACATTTGAGCCTGACAGCCTGAGTGCCCTGCGCTTTCAAGAAGGAGAACAATTATAATGTATTCGCACACAGGGTCCGTGGCGTCTGCACGACTAAAGTGCATGTACTAACTTGAACACATTTTATTCAAAGGTGAGTGGAAGTCGACTATAGTTCGTTTTTTTAAGTTTGCCCCTCACTGTAAACGTCTCTTTGAACACAGCACGAGAATTGCTAGCTGGGTATGACGTCACAAAAGGAGAATTGCTAGTTGAATTACTGAGAAAACTGGTTAGCGCACATTGTATTGTAGATATGAATAATATTTTCAAAACAAGGTTTGAACACCGACGATTTAACGTTATGTTAAGCGCCGTGCTATTTATTTTATAGTTCAGACATAATTCCTGAGAAGTCGTCTATCCCTGTGGGGCTCTAGGTATGGCAAATACCAGCTACGAATTTGTGAAATAGTAAATAAATTTGATGAAGTTGATCGTCTGTGAAATCTGGTCAAATCAATGTGCGCCAACCAGCTCTCTAAGTAATTCAGCTAGGAATTCTCGTGCTGTGTTAAAAAAAACGTTTACAGTGAGGGGCAAACTTAACCCGCGCCCTGCTGGGGGTCCTGGATTTCCACGCCCTGCTGGGGGGGGGGGGGTGTTTGAACACCCCCCCTTGTAACTCGGCTCCTGGGCCACGTAGCGATACGCGGAAGGCGGCGTTCGAAAGAGCGTAAAAAATAATGACGAAATCACTTCGGTCAATTTTTTGGTCAGGTCAAAGGTCAGGTCACCAGAGGTCATTGAAGGCAAAATTTCGCCGATTTCCAGGTCGAATGTCGAAAATTTCCAAGAAGCCAACGCATAACTCGGGAACCAATAGAGCTACAGCGCCGCGGAAAAGCGCATTCGATAGCCCTATTAACGCCCTTTCTGAGTAATTCTCTCAGATTTGACCTAACGTCAACGGTTTTGCCTGCAGGGGGCAAAAACTGCAAAAATAACCGATTTTTTCGAAAACAGTTTTTCTGCAATAACTTTTGACCCAAGCCTTGTACGAGCTTACTTTTACCGGCATCGTGTTCCTCTCGTCAAGACGCATCGAATGAACTATAACTTGACCTTGAAAGGTCAACTTGAAAATTTGACCTCAGGTCAAGGTCATGACCTGACCGGAAAGGGTCATGTTGCATATCAGTCGATCCGTATCGTCGAGCTGAACACATCTAAGGAGTTTTCATCGCTCTAGCATGCCTCTATCAAAAGTTATTTGCGAAAAACTGTTAGATACCATACGTGACCTAAGATGACCTCAGGGCATAAACAAGGGTCACGGACACCATTTTCAAGTTCAGTGTGTCTAAACCACTTGTAATTCGGTGTTTGGGAGTGTTTATAATGTCTTTCATCCAAAAGAGGCGCATTTCAATTTTCTCCCATTGACTTATAATGGGGAGGTCGCAAAATTGACCTGACCTTAGGTCATCGATATCAAAATTCTGAGATATACATTTTGTACATGCTATTGCTCTTAGCAATCGCTGAGAGTTTCAAAGCGATCGGTCACTCGGTGTAGCTATGACAGACATTGAAAGTTTT